ATATAATATTATAAATAAATATTTAAATAAAAAATAAATTATATAATAATTATATCATGATAGTAATTTTATAATAATTATATATTATTTTTGAAACATTAAAGATTTAAATTTAAAACTAAAAATTGGTACATTACAATTATTTAAAAAAATATTTAATAAAATGTACCTTAAAGTTCAAATTAAATGCGAAAAGAATTTTCATTCTTAAATCCATTTATTATTTTTTTTATGCAGCCAATTATGATTCTCTCCAGATTCAAATCATTTCTCAAGTGTTAATCAGTTGAGCTTGAGCAAGATAGTTCATTATCAGTGCTGCATAGGAAATCAACTATAATGAGAAGTAAAACTGACTGTCAATCAATTGTTAACACCAAACATATTAATGCATTGAAGCTAGCAAAGGCAAAACCATGTACTAGTAATTTCCTGTAATACATTTCATTGTATCATTCTGTCTTTTCATCATACAAGAAAATAAAAACATTATTATTTTTCAAAACTCTGTATGATGTCAACAAAAACGATGCTGATGTTGGTGTTTTTGCTGCAAAAATTTTGCAGGAGTTTCTATGTAAAGACTAGACTAAACTAGTGAAAGAATTCAAACCTGAGGAAACATTAAACACTGAGGAGAGTTGTGGTTATGGACCCCCTCATAAGTTGTAATCACATAAGATGGATCCTCTCTATCTCTTTCAACTCTCTTCTTCACAGGACACCCTTCTACAGAACATCCATAATACTTCCTGTTAATCACAGAATTTGAAGATTCAAGTTGTAAAATCATAGAAATATTGGGGAAGAATTTGTTTTCTTTACCTACAGCTAGTTTTTTTTATACTGTTTATACCTTTCAATTTTTCGACCGAAAGACAAAGTTCTGGGGATAATATCTCTACTTTGCATTTTATTGTTTTAAAATATAAATTATTTAATTTTTTTACACTAAAAAAAAAAAAAAGGTGATGAAGAAGAAAAGGTTATTCTTTGCTTGGCAAAAAGAAAGAAGAAACTTCTAATTCCATAAACAGAGATGTCGAGCATTCTCTCCTGTCTTGTCACCAGGCACTGACAGGAGGGGGGGTGGCGGCAGCTGGCGCGTTAAAAATGGACGTGGCTCCCTTTGACTGCATTCGTTATCTTTCTATTTCCATAAAGAACGATAGGGAGCATTCTGAGCACTCTCACATAAGTAATATTTTTGGATCTATATTGTATTTGATCCAAATTTTAGGACCTCTTCATAATTTTGTATTTTTTTTGTGAATAAAGAATGTCTATTTTTTATTTTTCTCTATTCCAGACTGCATGAATTGATTTTATTTTATTTTCATGATGATTTCAATTAAATAATTAATCAAATTGAAATGAATTTTTCTATATAAATTAATATTAAAAGATATTTATCAAATCTTAATCTATGCTTAAAGTACATATTAAAAAAAATTTTACTTAATTATTTCACTCTGTATTTACACAATTATAAAAAAAATCTAATTTAATATTAAAGAACAATTTTTAGTGCTTAAATTTCATAAATTCTCCATTAAAAAAAATACTTTTTTTTATTAGTGCATTTGAAATTTTTTTATACAACTCATTTTGCTTACCTTGGATTTGGACTGTTCTTCACCTTCTTCTTTCCATATTTCCTCCACTTGTACCCATCCTCCAGTACTTCAACCTCTGACCGTGTTCGAAATGCAAGTCTTTCTCTTACTTTCCCCTCCACCCTTCTACCTTCACTTTCTCCTGCATGGAAAAACCAGAGGAAGATGATTATTTATCTGTATGTATAGAGAATGGAAAAACTTAATTAAGAAGCCAACTAATGAGATTTCTTACTGTTATTTGGTCCTTCGTGGAGGCTGCTAATCCCACCAGTCTCATTAACTGTATTTTCTTGATTAACAGGATTCCCGGTGAATCCGGAATTAATAACAGCTGGCTGATAATCCTCCAACCAGCCATCCGACATCAAGTAGTCCTCTGGGAGCTCGAAATTGGAGTCATCTCCACGCTCAGTTTCTGGTGACTCCAATACCCTAGAATTGCTATTAGACATATTGATATCAAACATACGCTACAACTCAATCCTCCATAACTCTGCAGCTGTTTTATACATGTTTGGCCTTGGTGGCTTGAGCAGTAAGGGTAGTTTCTCCATGAGCTTCCTCTGATATTACAGGAAGCTTCAACGTTAATACCAGGAGCCTAAAATACCAATCAAGGAAGTGGGGCATGCCAGGGATGACTTAAAAGAGTAGACTTCCTAAAAAATATGTTCGTTTCTGCCTTTCTTTTGTGTGCCTGTGGGTGAATTTAGCTTGGCTCGGAGTGAGACCAACCGTTAACGGAGAGTCAGTAAAGAGAGCTCCAGTCCAAGATGACCAATTGAAAAAGACGAGGGATCTTGTTCACTGAACAGCACATCTTATGCATTGTAAATGAAGGGAAGATCAAAGAAAACTAGTATGGAAACTATTTACAAAAAAAAAAAAAGAAAAAGAATTATTCTTTCATATTCAATTCATCAATTGTGCTTCTTTGAAATTTGTTCAAATTTAATTTAGAGATAATTAATGATTTTATCCATAAATAGGTGCGCAATTCGTTTATGGTAATTATTAACTACATAATATTAATTTTAAATAATTATTCTTAACCTTATTATACTTAATAAAATAAAGAAGTCTATATAAGGTGGAAAATCTGTATTTTGTTCATTAATACAATGATCTCAATTTTTATTAATTTTCATATAATTGGAAGATTAACTTCTAATTAATTTATTGCTTACTAGTGTAGTACAACTAATGTTCGATCGTATGCATCTACGTAGAAAATGAATTAAAATGCATATAAATCCTATAACTATATTATTAATATCTCTCCTCTTATTTTTTTTTATTTATATTATTTTATTCTAGTTAATTCTTTTATAAATAAAAGGTTAAATGCTTAATTTGGTCCCTCAACTTTAAGAAATGAACATTTTTGATCCCTCAACAATTTTTTACACTTTTTGATCCCTCAACTATACGAAATGCACTCCGTTAGTCCTTCTATTAATTTGAGCCGTTAACCCTACTTAGGTGGCATTTTTTATATTTTTTT